TCAGAGGGCGAGAGGCCGACCCCCGCCGGGCGCCGCGTCACGCCGCCGCCGGGCCACAATGGCCGACCGGCCGCCATTCACTGCGGCCAGTTCATTACATCCTGGCCGAGACGGCCGCGGCCGCGCCGCTCAATGCCGCCGAGGCCGGACACAAAGTGAGTGCCGCCCGGCTGTCACAGCGCCGCCCGGCCGGCTAATCGCCCCAAATCTCCGACAAATTGGCATTCCAACTTATCGGTCTGCTTTCTGTGCGCCGCCGCTGGGATGACAATCAACAGCGGCGGCGGCCGGGCACCTGGCCGGCCGGCCGGACCCCCATCGCACCGCGCTGACAAGCCGCCTGTACTTGGCACCCGAAAACACGAGTTTAATGGCGGCGCTTTGTCGGCGCGCCGCTGACTGGGCGGCCGGGCCCGGTTCCGGCGGCCAAGCATGCTCCGGCGCACCTGAAAAGAATATTTTCGACTGGCATTTCGCCTGAGAGGAGCGCCTGAAAGCGTTAAGTCGGGACTGAGAGGAGCCGCTCGTCCCGGGCAGAGCGGCGGCCTCCAAGGCTGGAGATATCAGTTGGCGGGTCGGTGCGGCGGCTGACCCGGGGTCTAGTTGACACGACTAACTTAGGAGTGAGTTCGGTGGCTTCTACTCCAAACAGACCTGGGCTAGGTCCCATCAAACGGCGACTGAACCGAGAAGGTGTGGCAGGCAGTCACCTGGCTCGGAGCCAGATGGAATTCGATGGCACTGTTCAGTGTGATTATTCTCATCTTTGAAGCAACTTCTGGCAGAAAAGTGAGTGAGGTAACATTAACCCACTGCTTAGTTTATAAACCAAACGCGCTCCACGCGCTCCACTGGCACGTCTGCAGCGCACGGGCTGGCTGCGCGATGGGACCAAAGCTCTGCGCGGTCTCTGCGGTCGGCACAAGATCCGCAGATCTCACCTGTGGTCTGCGACGCCTCCCGCCACCAGATGCCGATGGACCTTCAAGATCGACCTCTTCAGCCGCACCGACCGTGAGCTACCACCACACGTAGTGAACGCCATGTTTGAGGAGGTCCTGGCCGACACCAGCAGTGAGCTCCCACAGCCCCTCGTCGTCCTGGCCACTGACGGTTCTGTCACCACAAGCACCCCAAGATCGGGATGGGGGTGTGTGATGAGGGAGTCAGACGGCAGCCTGCAGACCCACCGTGGAGGCTGTAACCTTCGCCTCTCTAGCATGAGGGCTGAGCTGGAGGCCATCTTCCGCGGTCTGGATCTTGCCAGAAGCGCCCACCCTGATCTAGCCGCGTGCATCATCTGCACCGACTCTCAGTCTCTCCTGCGCAAACTAGAGAGCGGATCGGCTCCTCCGGAGTGGCACGACCTCCCTCAACAAGTCGTCTGGGTATACTGCCCAGGGCACGCCGGAGTCCAACTGAACGACAGAGCCGATCACCTGGCTGGCAGCGGTTCTGCTTCCGACTACCTGGAGCTCGGGACGCAGGACATCCAACTCATCATACGGGATCGACAGCTGAGCAGCCGCGACGACGGGTCGTGGGAGGAGAGGAGGATGAGCGAGAGAGGCCTGGAGCGGGGTTGGGCGGCGAAATCCACCTCCCGTGGCCGCGCTGCCCACACGATGTGCCAGCTGGCCACTGGTACTCTCTCCCGAGCGGCGCTGACCAGGGTGTTCCAGCTAGGAGGAGCAGAGGCTGCTTGGGGCCAACTATTGGGCCTCCGCCGGCTAACGACGCTGCCGCTCGACCAGTAAGACCAGTAAGTAAGCAAACAAGTTCATCGGTATCGATATGTCAGAAAAATGACTACGACTTCAAATAATAGGATCTTCATCTTACGGCACAAATCTACCTGCGTTCAATTTCCCATTAACCCTATTAGTGGCAGGCTCCTGGCTACCCCTATTAGTGGCAGGGGGGGGGGGCTGTTTACGACCCCCCCTGATATCTCGAGATCTAACGGGCCGATTTTCAAAATTCAAACGGCATTCGATTTCGCTCAACGTGATCTACATTTCTAAAAAATAAAAATTAAAAAATGTCAATAGGGGGTAGAGGGGGGTAAAAACGAGCAAATTGCAGATACATTTTAGACTGTTTATCACGGCCAGGTTTCTGAACCAATCTTAACGCAACTTTTGCCGATCGATAGAGAATGAACCAGGAATTCACATGGATCCTGAAAATATGCATTTTCAAAAATCATAGGCGGATGCAGATCATTGAGATTGGGGGTACACAAAAAGTATAGTAAATAAGGTTTTTGTTGGTACTGTTTCTAAAAAGGGTGGTAATGGTCTTGTTATGTTACAATTTTCTTATGAGAGAACGACTACAATTGTATTGGTCATGCATAGGCGGTGTCAGGGCACCTATGTTGGGAGGTAAAACATAACCCCTCTTTTTGGACGCCTGGATCCGCCTATTATAGCAAAAACGTGTCAAAAGAGGATGCACAATAACTTTGTATATGTTATCACATGATACCTTTCATTCACTGTTCGTAAAACTGGTGCATACAGTTATAATACATCAGCATCGTGATCTTCGCCCAAATGACTCGCTTCACGAATAGGACCCCCTAATTCCCAGTGCTCTGGAGCCGCCCCTGGTAAAGTTATGAACTTGAAATTTTCAGGGAATATGCCCAATTTAGTTTTAGGAAAAGTCAGAAAATTTCAGCATCGTAGCTTCAGCGGTTTCGGAGATATTCCCGAAAACTATTTCGTGAAAGTGAACGATTCTCTTTAAATCACCGGCCATGCTGTGGATTCTTCATCTCCCGTAACAATCCAGAGTCAAACCCGGTCAAACCCGGTCAGATGACTTTGTTAGATGCGGTAGGATTTAATGTCCACATCATGCTGTTTCTTCAATCGCAGCTCAATACGACAGTACGAATTGGTGGGGGTGTTGTCGGTGAAGATCAAACACCTTTCTTGGGCTTTTTGCGGCGATTCTGCTCGAGGGCATATCGCAAGTCGCAACTTCGTCAAAGTATGCCGTAGTGCGTGCTAATTATTATCCGACCATCATCAAGACAGTCGGTAATGACTATCCTACGCCAGATGCAGAACACCGATAGCATTGACCTTCCATATCGGCTTCTGCATCTTCGCCTTTTAAGAAGGAACAGCTGTGCTGTGCTTCAGCCTTCAACTTCTTGATCATCATTGTGTCTCTGGATAATACACATAAGGTAACCCAGCATTCGTCAAAAGTCACGAAACGATCGAAGAACTTTTCAATGTCCTAAAAAGGCCTAGTGTTCGTTTCGAAAGGACAAGACGCACTTTTTTCTTGAATGCTTGAATTCTCTAGGCATGCTGATACGCCTGAGTCACTTGTTTTGCCCTTGAAAACTATTGCACTGCTTGTTAATTCGTTAGTTCTTCCACATATCCGTTTCTGTGTTTCTGTATGGGGGAATTGTGGCTTGACACAGGGGAAAAGGATATCTAAAATTGTAAAATTTGCTCGGCGTATCACGGGTCGTGAGAGTGCGAATGTGGCATGGCGAAGAGACTTAGCCTTCGAACATGACATTGCTGCATTGAATATAATTCGTCAGTGTCTGCTTTTTCCGGAAATTACAACACCATTGATATCCTCGCTCTTTATAACTAGAAGATCTGACCGTGAGACAAGACAGTCGGAGAACCTAGATCTGGTTGCTCCGCGAACAGATTTTATGAAATATTCACTGTCATATCATGGCTCTAAATTGTGGAATAGTTTGCCCACTAGAATGAGGAATGCCTCAAAATTTGAACTGAAAAAGTACCTCCTAGCAAAAGCAAACACTGACAACTGATGACCACGTTTCACCCAATGTGTACGAATGTACTTGTATGCGCCCTGCAGTGGAATTGGCAATGTGTGCGGATGTGCTCGTATGTGCCCTGCAGTGTACCGTTAAACGTACCAATCATCATTGTTTACTGCATGAACAGACGTGTTGGAATTGGCAATGTTCCACTGTAGGTAACGCCCACCCGATGATCGTGGTTAGTGGAATAAACGATATAATAATAATAATGATAATAATAACAAAGTAAACACACGAACTTCTAAGCGGGCTGACTCTTTTATCGTCTGTATAGTTCTTCGCTGATAATATTTTGAGGTACTGTCAGCATTGAGACCTTTCTGTTCACAGTCAAGGGCGCACACAAGGGGGGAGGCACACGGGCCTATGCCCCCCCCCCATTCAAGTTAGGGGGCCCCTTATCCTTAGACCGCCGAAGACCGTGTAACAATGAGCTGAAATAATGATTGAAAAGACCGGGCGGGCCCATCTCGTTCTCCAGCAGGCCCATATGAGTCCATAAAATGCCCAGTAGCGCTGCCAGGGTGATTGTGGTGAAATTTCAATGGCCCCAAAAGGCCTCAAAGGGCCCACGGATGGCGTCACAGGATCCTCAGATGGTCTCGTAGGGCCCTCAGTTATCGTCAAATGACCGCCATCTGGTGTCAAAGGGCCGGAAAGAAGTCAGATGGCCTCAAAGGGCCCTCAGATGGCCCCAAAGGACCCTCAGATGGCCTCAAAGGGCCCTCAGCTAACGTCAAGCGGACTTCAGAAGGCCTTAAAGGGCGTCAACGGGCCCTGAGCTGGCGTCAGAGGGCCCAGAGCTCGCGTCAAACGGCCCTCTGAAGGCCTTCAAAGTTCAAGGGTCCTTAGCTGGTGTCAGAGGGCCCTCAGGCCTCAGCTGGCGTCAAACGGACCTCAGATGGCCTTAAAGGGCGTCAAAGGGCCCCCAGCTGATGTCCGAGGGCACTGAGCTGGCATCAAACTTAAAGGGCCCTTAGCTGGTTTCAGAGGGCCTCCAGTTGGTGTCAGAGGGCCCTCAGTTGACGTCTAATGGCCATCAGAAGGCCCCAAACGGTCCTCAGCTGGCGTCCAGCGGTCCTCAGCTGACGTCAAGAGGCCCTCAAAAAGCCTCAAAGGCCCCTCGGCTGCCCAAAGGGCCCTGTTTGCGCGGAGGACCATCGCTTTAAGTTACAGAAAGGTAAAGAAATAAATAGAAAATAGGCAAATTATATTCCACACTTACAAGAAAAAATAACGATATCGGTGACGAGTTCGCTGGACGGACGAGTTTTGCATCATACAGAAATGCAACTTATTATCGGATCACGATTAAAAGCTATTTTATCATTTTTAACACGTTTTTTTCACTCCTTTTTCGCCAACATCATTCACTCGATAAAAATAAAGCTCGTGATAATGTTTTCAGCACTGGCTGTCAGAGCACCTTCAAAATAATAAACTACGACATCTGAGCACTTTAAAATAAAGGAAATTAAGATCATTTAGCTAAGCAAATTCACTCGCGTTTCCAACATCGCCGGCCCTGATTTAGCCGTTGGGCTAAATCACCAGTTTGTGACGACCCCCTACAGGTCTAAGACGCACAGGCGCACAGCGGGCCGAGTTCTCTGTCCAGAAGCGGTCTTCACCTCGGCTGCTCTCACTCGACCATCCGCCCCTGGAATGGTGCGGATGATGCGGCCCAGAGGCCACACGCCTCGAGGAACGTTATCTTCAGCCAGGAGGACCAGATCTCCTGCTTTGATGTCCCGTCCTTCTTTCTTCCACTTGTGTCTGACAGTCAGGTTTGGGAGATATTCACTCCTCCATCGCTGCCAAAAGTGGTCCACTAGTCGTTGACCATGACGCCACCGCTTCCTAGAGGTGATATCGCGGTCGTGAAATACGCCTGGCGGGAGATTTGGAGAAGCCCGCCCTAAAAGAAAATGATTCGGCGTCAGAGCTTCGAAGTCCTCAGGGTCATCACTGACATGAGTGAGAGGACGACTGTTTAAGAGCGCTTCCACTTCAGTGAGGAAGGTGAGCAAAGCCTCGTCTGTGAGCGCTTGTCGCCCGATGATGATCTGAAGTGCGCGCTTTACAGATCGCACTAGCCTCTCCCAGGCTCCACCGAAATGAGGAGCAGCTGGAGGGCTGAAGCGCCATTCCACGTTCTGTTGCAGCATCTCGCTTGCTATCCGCGCCTGATTCCAGCTTTGGAGGCATCTTCTGAGTTCACGTTCAGCTCCTCTCATGGCAGTTCCGTTATCCGAGTAGATAACGCGAGGGCGTCCCCTTCTTGCCATCATGCGTCTCAGACACATGATGAGAGAGTCGGTGTCTATAGAATGCGACATTTCTAGATGCACAGCTCTTGTGCTGAGACAGGTAAATATGCAGCCATATCTCTTCTCCTCTCTTCCATCTTTCTTCACCAGGATTGGTCCGAAAAAGTCTAGTCCGACGGCCGCAAAGGTAGGACTGGTAGAGTCGACACGTGCTGAAGGTAGGTCGCTCATCAGAGGTGGCTGCGGAGTTGCTCGTGCTCGTGCGCAACCAGGACACTTGAAAGTGTAAGCTCTGACGGCGGCGCGTCCTTTCAGAATCCAGTGCGTCTGCCGTATTTGACTCAGTACGTGATTCGCACCGGCGTGGGCGAGAGTTCGATGCCGATCAGTCACAATCAATCTTGTTATCTCGTGTCTGGAGGGCAGGATCGCCTGATGCTGCGCTTCGTATGATACGACGGTCGCGTGGCGCAGTCGACCCCCAACACGGATTAAGCCGCTGCTGTCCATGAAGGGGTTGAGCGACAGAAGCTTGCTGTCACTAGCCATTTTCTCTCCTTTCTGTAGCGCGTTCACTTCTCTAGGGAATGCCTCTCTTTGTACATTCCGACACCAGTGGATTTCGGCCTCACGGAGCTCATCAGGTGTCAACGGCCCACCATTTCGCTCTGATTGTGCTCTCCGACTGTTGAACAGAAACCTGCGTAGCCAGGCCGTAACTCTTAACAGCCTGCGCCAGTCTGAAAATCGCGCTAGATCGATGACGTGCTCTTCACCTGTCGTCGAGATGCAGAGTCGAACTTCGCGGCGCTCTTCTGTATGCGCCGTGTTCTCTTCCTGGTTTGCAGGTTGTTCAATTGGCCACTCTGTCTCTGGACGGCTCAGAAACTCAGGACCGTGGATCCATCTGTCGTTGTCCAGTAGTTCCATCAGACCACACCCTCGGGAGCAGACGTCGGCGGGGTTGATGACTCCTGGTACGTGTCTCCAGGAGCGGCAGTCTGATTCATCTTGAATTTCAGCGATACGGTTCGCTACGAAGTTTTGATAGCGGCGACTTTCGTTTTTTATCCAGTGCAGGACGGTACGCGAATCCGACCAAAAGTGAGTTGAATGAATCTCGATGTCATGCTCTTGTTTGATGGAGACTGCAGCGCGTACAGCCATTACAGCCGCTTGTAGCTCTAGTCGTGGAACGCTGAGCTGGCGCAGGGGTGCCACACGATTCTTAGCCAGAACGAGAGCGCAGCTAATGTGGCCATCTTCATACGTGTACCGAAAGTATGCTACTACACCGAAAGCGACTTCGGATGCATCTCCAAAGATGTGAAGCTGGCAGTTCACTGGGGCACTGTGCCACTGTCTGTAGCAGCGCGGTACTCTGAAGTCGCTCAGCGTCTCTAGATCAGCTGTCCACTTCTCCCATGCATCCTTCAGCCTTTGCTCCTTGATTTCTTCATCCCAGCTGAAGCCAGCTTTCCATATACTCTGGAGAAGGCATTTTGCAGGAAGAACCCACGGGGCCAGCATGCCCAGAGGGTCAAAAACCGATGATACCCGACTCAGAATGTTCCTCTTTGTGGCCAGCTGGGTGAAGGCAGTGGCTTTGAAGGTGAGCATGTCAACTGTGGTGTCCCAATACACCCCCAGTGCGCGTTCCCACTTTTGGCCATCTTTGGTGAGGTCCACTGACATTGTGCTGTGATCCCTGCAGTCGATGCCCTTCATCACAGATGTAGATGAACTGGCCCATTTGGATAGGATAAATCCACCTTTGGCCAGTAGAGAGCTTAGCGACTTTTGCATCTCGCTGGCCTGATTTTCGTCTTCTAGTGAATCTAAGTAGTCATCAACGTAGAAGCGTTTGTGTACTGCCGCTGCAGCAGCAGGGTACTCTGTCTGGAAATCATCAGCGCATTTCCTGAGAACGAATGTCGCTGAGCAGGGCGAAGATGCAGCCCCGAAGATGAGCGCTTGCATCTGGTAGTGACTCGGTGGTTGTAGTCTGTCCATCCCTCGCCATAGAAAGCGCAGGGCAGGCTGATCAGACGGACGGACCCTCACCTGGTGAAACATTGCGTTAATATCGGCTGCCAGCGCGACGGGCCTTTGACGAAAGCGCATCAAAATGCCAACCAAGCTGTTGGTTAGATCGGGTCCAGTGAGCAGCTGCTCATTTAGAGAGGTGCCCCCGTGTCGCGCAGCAGCGTCGAACACGACACGGGTCTTGCCTGGTTTGTAAGCACTCTGCACTGCATGGTGAGGCAAGTACCATTCGCGCTCATGTTTCACTTCAAGCTCGTCACAGGTCAGTTTTTTCGCGTATCCTTTATCAATGTAGTCGGTCATCGTGGCACAATAGGCCTCAGCTAGCTCTTTGTCACGGTCCAGCTTCCTCTCCGTCGAATTCAGCCGGGACATAGCAGAAGAAAGGTTTCCATGCAGCTTTACATTCGGTGACTTCCACAGCAGGCCAGTCTCATACTGTTCGCCGGCCCGTTTTGTAGTGCCATTCAAAATGTCGAGGGCTGCTTCGTCTTCTTTCGAGCGATTTACGGCGTTGCTGTATTTAGTTCCGAACGAATCGGTTTTCCACCATTGCGTGACCATTTCATGCAGCTCTGAGTTTTCCACCAGTTTAATGTGGTTGACTTGTCGTGTGCTGTCGCTGTCGATGTACTCTTGTGGGAGCCTCCCGGTTGCTACCCATCCCAGCCGTGTCAGCACAGCCCACGGTGCACCGGGCGGGCCTTCTCGAACTTCACGAGGCACTATTAGATCGAGCTCATCGGATCCGAGAAGAATGTCTACGGCCCGTGAATCCACGCTGGGGAGGTCCAGGTCCATCAAATGGGCCCACTTCTGCTTCACAATCGGCCAGTTAACGGCCGGCCCGTCAACGTTCAGAACTGGGGTCGTTCTCGCGTTTCGAACATGGAAGTGTTGGCTCGAACCCTTTGGACTGAGGCTGAGCTCGACGTGCCGTGAGGAGTAGCTTTTGTTGTCTCTTACAGTGCCCAGTGTAAGGCTCTCGGTAGGACCCTGGAGGCCGAGCTCATCGGCAAGCTGCTCTCTGATCAGCGTAATTTGACTGCCCATATCTAGCATCACATTTACAGTGCGCCGGCCATTGGGTCCGTTTACCGTCAATGGCAGAATCTGTAGCACCACCTTGCTATGATCCTTCTCGGTCGTGGTGCCAACGAGATTAGGTCTTCCTGTTGCTTTCATGGTGACAGTCTCTGGCTGCTGAAACACTCGCGGCGCACCATGAAGCAGCGGGTGGTGCTGGCCGTGACAGTCAGGCGTGATAGTGCATCGCTGTTTCAGTGCACACTTCCGAGCCACGTGTCCTTCGCCGAGACAAATCCAGCACAGACCGAGTCGGCGCACGGCAGATGCTCTTTCGCTCAGCGAGAGCGCTGTAAACTCGGAGCAGTGCGGTACCGTGTGAAGGCCTTGGCACTGTTTGCACTTTACGGGCGCCTCTGTCTGATCTGGACGGGTCGCTCCTGTTACTGCTACCGTGCTGCGCCACTGATGCATTGCAGTGCTTCTGTGTGGCGGCCGTTTTGCGTTCGTAGCAGATTCGTGTCTTGGGTTTTTCTGGTGGCTACTGTGTAGCTGTCTGGCGGGAGGATCACTCACAAAACGACCCGCGTCCACAAAGCTGCGCAGCCATTCATTCAGTTCCGTGAGCGTGGGAACTAGCAGTTTTCTCTGCACGCAATATTCTCCCCAACGCCAGGCGACACCGCGGGGGAGTTTGTCGACCACTTGTTGTACATTTTGCGTCGCGGCTAAATCGGCGTCATACTGCATCGTCTGCAGCACGTTGACCGTGCAGTGTAACGTGCTTGACAGCGCTGCGAGTGCTGATACATCATCATCACTCCGCACCGGCGTAAATTCGAGCACTGCACGTATGTTCGCTCGCACGACGTGACTTGGATTTCCGAACTGACGCTCTAGTTCGTGTAGTGCTTCGGTATACAGCGTGCCATCGCATAAAAGACCACGAACTGCTTCCCGAGCTGTGCCTTTCAAGCTCGACTGGAGATGGACTAGACGTTCGGTGTCGGTGAGCGCAGGATTATTATGTACTAAGGCTTTGAAAAGCGCGCTCCATCTTGGCCATTCGAGAGGTGATCCGTCGTAAGTTTCAAGTTTAAGTGCTGGAAGCGTCGTGTTTCGGGGCTGCTGCACTGGAGGTCGCTCATTACGCTCATCGGCTATTGGGAGCTTAGCAACCCATCTTCCAGTTCGTTGCGTAGGACTATCCAGCAACGCATTTGGGCCTGAACAGGTGAGAGACGCCGGCTCTGACACTGTAGCGGTCGGCGGCTGGCGCTGCAGCTCTGGCCTATTGGTGTCCTTTCGTGATCTGGGAACACTTCGATGGCCATCATCAGTGCTGACGTTTTCTTCTTCTAACAATGCTAATTCGAGTTCGTCCTGTTCCGCTAGGTCGCGAGCGGCTTGTGCTTCGACAAGCGCAGTGGCGGCGGAAGGTATTCTAGGATAGGGGTGCAAACGATATTGAAGCGCCCCTTCCCGCTGGGTGCCCCTTACCATATACACGGTTGTAGTAACACAAACAGTGAAGAGACGTTTGACAATGTGTTGTACCTGTTAACCCGGCAGTTGCTGGGGTATTTCGCCACCCACCGTTTGCTGGGGGGGGGGGGCGTTAAACGCCCCCAGCCGATAACTCGAGAACCAATAGGCGCAGCGAAACGCACGAGGCGGCAAACGAAAGAGCGCGACGAGACGCTTCAGATGAGTACTTTAAAGTTGAATTTTGAGGTCACAGGTCGGGTCAAGGTCAGGTCAAACACCTGAAATCGGGCTTTCAGTAGCATGGACTTCAGGACTTCGCAATGGGCGCCTCTCGTCATAAACTCTGTCCAAACGGTGCACAATCCATCATATAAGGCCTACAAGAGTGTCAGCTCCATGTCGGGGTCAGTCAAGCATAGGTCAGGGTCAAGGTCAGGTCAACCGGGTAGGCACATATCCCCGAAAATCAAAACTGATATTCGCAGCCTGTGACACATGTTTTATAGGTAATTTGGGGCGTAGAACACGATGGTGACATTCATTTTGTCATATATGTACGTGTTTGGCTCAAAAAATTCAATTTAAGAAATGCATGTATCATGGTCGTGAAGTAGTCACGAAAAGTTGCCAAGATTCAGTTCAAGATTATGGAAAATGCGGAACGATAATCAATAATCGAAGATAGCCATTTGATTGATCATGGTATTGGCAGTCTAATGGCGTTTACGGCATGTCTGTATGTCTATTCTGTGATTTTATATGATTTTTTGAACATATGCCGTTTTTGGTCGAAAACTCAGAAATCATGACGTCACTAAAACCTCGATATCTCAAAAATTTTCCGACCGATTTTTTTGAAACTTTGTCACAATAAACTTCAATCAATTCCCTACAGGTACCCAAAATTTGGCGCGCCTGCGGCGCGCCGTTTTTATGCTATGGCCCGGCGAAAAAAGTGGGGGCGTTTAACGCCCCCCCCCAGCAACTCGCGGGTTAAAACGTTCAGAATTACAGTTTTTATGTAACGAGAAATAGTTGGTACATTCCATAGCGTAAATGTAACCTTCATAATGTTCGTTAAGAAACAACCTCATCACCATATCATAAGATTCTCCGAATAAGGCATATCGAAAAGAGTTCCACGGTTCAGTGAAATTAATGCCGCCCCAATCTCCGATAGGCGCCCCAGGTGATACATGTCGCCAATCAACACCAACGGGCGCCCCATTGAAATGAATACCGCCCTTCAACACTGGCAGACGCCCCAGTGGAATGAATGCCGCCCCACAATGCCGATGGCCGTCTCTGCACTGGAAAATCAGTTTCGCCCCTATACAGGCGCCCATAGAAGTTTGCAGAATGCTATTCCTGGTCATAATCATCTCCCCAGTAAAAAAACGCAAAATACGCCCTAGCACTAGGGGTGTAACCGCCCATACGGACAGTGCAATTTACAGGCCCCAATCTCGGACCTCCCTTAACATTCATATGTTGTAAACGGCAAACCGCCCCCGATAAATGTTACACAAACTAATTTCCTCTCGCATATCGGCCATCAGGCGCCCCTTTTTAATGTCGCATGGAGCCTGCAACGCTATAAGCCCTCATATGTTCGTGTTGGCATTCGGAGGCTATCGCCTTCAAAGACGTCTCCATACATGTTTCTTTTTCGTCCCACACACAGGCGCCCCTCTTTCGCATGTATGCGCCCCTCTTCCGCATGGCGCGCTTCTCGAGTGGCTGCGCCCTCCTAGCCTTTATCGCCTGGCAAGATTATATTCGACAGGGTCGGCAGCATCTGCCTTTGTTTCAGATAAGGATGCCCTCCACTCTTCAGCATATCAAAAGATGCTTTTCCCACGTCATTGCCACCCTCTTCGTGTCACAAGTGACTTTATCAGTTGCGGTGTCGCACTGCTCAGCTTTATGGCTGCCGCACCTCTTAACTTCCTGCCTTCTCTACAGATTTTCGAGGCGCCCCTTTCCATAGCTTTAGGGTGCAGCTGCCCCCCTTGCCCCCCTACTTCCGCCGCCACTGGACAAGCGCTTCAGTTTCGGCAAGCCGAGCTCGTTGCCGAGCCGCCTCGGCTTTGGCGGCTACAGCACGTTCTGCCTGGCTTGCCTTCAGCTTCGATAATTTCGCCTTTCTTCGGGCTTCATCGACTGAAAGGCTCGATGAAGTTTTCGAACTCGCGATAACACTCCTAGTCTTCAGTGAGGTCGGAGCGCTGCTCCTTGAGCTTCTACTCATTATTAAAATCTGATCAACGTTGAATCGAGAAAAAGGCGAGCATTGTGACGCTACGTTATCGTAACTTTACGTTAAATTGTTGTTTTCCATACACAAGTTACGTTGATCCGGCCCGGAGGACCATTGTTTGCGCGGAGGACCATCGCTTTAAGTTACAGAAAGGTAAAGAAATAAATAGAAAATAGGCAAATTATATTCCACACTTACAAGAAAAAATAACGATATCGGTGACGAGTTCGCTGGACGGACGAGTTTTGCATCATACAGAAATGCAACTTATTATCGGATCACGATTAAAAGCTATTTTATCATTTTTAACACGTTTTTTTCACTCCTTTTTCGCCAACATCATTCACTCGATAAAAATAAAGCTCGTGATAATGTTTTCAGCACTGGCTGTCAGAGCACCTTCAAAATAATAAACTACGACATCTGAGCACTTTAAAATAAAGGAAATTAAGATCATTTAGCTAAGCAAATTCACTCGCGTTTCCAACAGGCCCTAGTTAGAAGGCCTCAAAGGGAACTCAAGAGACGTTTAACGACCCTCAAGAAACGTCTATTTTGACGGTTCTTCTCCTGTGGGTTCCAAACCATTGACCTAAGGTCAAATTTGAGGACAATTGAGCCCGGAGACTTATGTCCGCGATCTTGTGAGGCCATTAGCGTCGCCACGGGGGGCAAGCGGGGCAGCTTGCCCCCCCCCCAACCTCGGACCGGGCACCCCCTGAGATCGATACAGATCCGATGAGAGTTTGGAGTCGGGAAAAAAATGGGGGTACCTTTCTGAGAATGCCTGTGAGGTCAGACTCGGTTGGAGCGTGCAGTTCAAACCAGAGTCAGAGTCGCAGTCGCCAAAATCTTCAAGACTCCGACTCCAGACTCGGAAATGTCAATACTGTGATTCATTTCATATTCCTAGTTGGTTCTTTATTACATGTTATAACTGATTTTAATAAGTTTTGGATTGCTGACGCATAATTTTCGAAGCGTGACACGAAATTTTCGGGGCCTTTCTCAACTCTTGTCAAATGTCTGCGACAAGCTCAAGCACCGTTCAAGTGCCACAGGGCTCATGAGCTTGCTTATCACACAGGCTTCTAAGGAGCTCCACTGAGCTCTAAGAGGCATTCAGAGGGCCCAAACCGGCCTCTGAGAGTCCCACTGGTGTCCATGTTCTCTGAGGGCCCATGCAGGGATTTTTGAGGACCTTATACATGCGTTGACCTCTGAAGGGCCACACGAATCTTTGAGGATGCCTTCGAAAATTTCTGAGAACCTTAACTGGCCTCTGATAGCTCAGCCGAACTTTTGAGGAGATAGACTTTGCTAGCCCCAGGCCGGCATCTGAGGGGTCACAACTCACGTGTCCCTCTGAGGGCCGCAACAAATGTTTCTTATGTCCCTAAATAGGGTCCTTAGGGATTTGACACAGACCCAGATGGTGCCTACGTTATCCGAGGGCTCCAGGCTCACCCTGGGCCCCGTCTCTTAGCGCCCGGCGCCCACACTGGCTTCTGAGGGCCCCACCTTGGGCTCGGAAAGCCCTAAAGCACCACATACCTACCAAGGCCTCCTCTAACATACCCACTGGGTGGGCAAATGCCTACCCAGTCACCACAATTGCCCACCCAGTGGCGTCGATTTGCCCACCCAGAAGCAAATGCAAAAATAAAGGTCCGGTCAGACGTCCGGTAGGAACTACCACTTCCGTTTCCCGGAAAAAAAAAAACTTGCTAGCAGCCAGTGCCCCAGCCCCCAATCACTGCAGTGCAGGTTATTTTTTTTTTACAATGGATGCATCTGAATGCAGGGGCGGTAGCAGACTTGGCGTTTGGGGGTGGGGGCAACTTGGCAACTTTGCCAACTCTCGGAGGGGGGGGGCGGTGCTAGCTTAAGGGGACCATGGCCATAGCGGCCTCAAAGGCCCGTATGGAACCCCAGAGGCCGATGTGGGCTCTCAGAGGCCAGTGCGTGACGCCTAAGGGTGTAAGCCATGGGTCCCCAGCCACACAACAAAATAGGGCCATCAGAGACCTTATAGGCTGATTGGGGACTAAATAGGGCCTCAATTTGGAGCCATCAGAGGTTAATGTGGGCCTCAAATGTCAGTGTGAGGCCCTTATAAGACTGACATTGGTCCTCAGAGACCGGCATCGATCCTTCAGAAGCCAGTACGGGGCCCTCAGAGGCACAAAAGGGTCAGTCTTGGATCTCAGAGGCAGAAAATGGGCCATCAGAAACCGGTGTGGGACCTTTAAAGGTCGGTTTGTGCCCTCAGAGGCCAGTTTAAGGCCCTCAGAGACCAGTACAGGGCCTGAAAATGGCAGTTTGAGGCCATCAGAGGCCGGCTTTAGCCTTTGAGGCTCTCAAAGGCTAATGCGGGTCCTTGAGGCAAGGATGGGACCCTCAGGGTCCCATCCACCCTAAAAGACAGGCTTGGGCTGGTGTTGGACCCCAGAGTCCAGAAAAGGCCAAGTTGAGCCCTCAGAGCCGATGCAGGTCCTTAACCCGGCAGTTGCTGGGGTATTTCGCCACCCACCGTTTGCTGGGGGGGGGGGGGGGGCGTTAAACGCCCTCAGCCGATAACTCGAGAACCAATATGCGCAGCGAAACGAACGAGGCGGCAAACGAAAGAACGCGACGAGACGCTTCAGATGAGTACTTTTAAGTTGAATTTTGAGGTCAGAGGTCGGGTCAAGGTCACGTC